TAATCTATTTTTTTTTTATTCTGCAAGATATAGACTATACGTAGGTGCACTCTACAATATTTAAGAGCACAAACGTGAAAAAGGATAAAATTGTCAAATCCTACTTTTATCACTACACCAAAATTAATTTAACGTTATTTTTGTACACTTACCTAATTTTTCTACAATCTATGTATTATTAGCTAATTCACTCTAGTTTCTTACGGCAAAACTGATACATATGATATTACTGAAAATAAATTAGAGATCCCGCTCTAATTACACCATGGACTATTTTATAATGGACTCCTAATAATAAACTAAAGAATCTTGAACCCGCTGTAATTACATAATGGACTACTATATCAAACCTAAGATTCAAGATCACACGTCTTGATTTTTCCAAACTCAACTAGCTAATTTAATTTGCTTATGGTATGTGTCAAACTTCGTTTTTGTTTAGTAAATAGTAGATGTATAGTTTGGTAAACTCTTTGTACACATGTTGTTTGTTTTTTATTCTTAAAAAGGATAATAATTTTAAAACTCAAGAACATGTGCGCCAGTGCTCGTTACCATATTTTCATGCGAAAGAAATGAAGACGTTTTCGGATAATATACAAACAATTGGGGTGTTGTTTTGCAATTATCCTAACACTTAATTTTATAGATAGTGATACTTTATTTTGCTCACGTATTTCACATTTAGCCACGTAGATGCATTTATAAGCTCATAAAACATTTCGATTATTGACTTACTGCTGCACCATGTTTTGTTATATGTAATTTACGTCTATAAGATCAAATTGGTTCCGAATGTTAAAAGAATTCGATATTGGGAGATTAGGAAATGTAGGTAGGTAAAATAATATAAGCAGATGAGGAAATAATAGCAAAAAGAAAGTGGATGCGTCGTGGATTCCATATCTCTTTGCTTTTACTTTTCCTTAGTGTTAGGCGAAAAATTTGACGTATTCAACAAATATAATGTACAGTATTATGCTTTTCTTTACCATTTATTGGCCTGACCAACTCTTTTCTCTTTACACATTTTTAAACATGCGATATCGATATGGAAATGGAGTTAGGCTATATAGCATGGGTTTTCGACCTCAGTTACATACATTCGATCATTATTTTAAGGGACACACTTTTTTTATATACAAAAGTTAGATCTAAGTTTGGCATGTTAAAAAAGTTCATTTTGTTTGTCTCATTGCTAACTATCGTAAGAATATTAGACAAACTCGGCTTTTAAAATGGTTCTTGTCGATGCAGCTTAATGAAACTTTCGAATATTCGAATTTAAACCTTTCTTTTCTTTAACAATATCCAATAATATGAGTAGATTGAATCAATCATAATTTATTTGATTTAGATAAATTTACATTTTAATATCCAACAAACCAAATCTACACAATCCAATTGAAAAATGAAAAATGTTTAACTAAATTTCGTCTCCGAAACAAAACAAAAATCATATCGATTATGAATATCATAAAAATTTTGTTTTTAATTAACAACAAAAATTAGTTTATATATCAAGGAAATAATTTTGTTTTTTTTTTATAAAAAGGAATGCTTAGTTATAAAAAAAAGAATCGTATATCCAGAACACAAAGCGCACGTACTCATCTTTCTCTCAGTTTTCGAGACTCTCTTTGCCTCGGAGCTTGTAGCCGAGAGTAGAGGAGGAAGACACCATGGAAAGGCTTCTGCAACCATCTTCTTCTTCCTCATTTTCTCCTTCCAAATTCCCTTCAAAGACCTATCCTTTCCTTCCTCGTCTCCGCTCATCGAGTCTATCCTTCGCTTCCTCGTACCGGCCCGAGTCACGCCGAGTCAGCTCAGTTTCCTGCAACAATTTCCAGAACCCATCGTCTAACAATTCCTTCAATGGGTCTAATCAGACTAACAATTCCTTCAATGGGCCTCCTTCTTCGTCTCTCAAATCTGAGGAATCGAAACCTAATCCCGGATTTCTCCAACGGATCGTGACCACCGCGTCTGAGCAGCGAAAGGTATTCAATTTTACGTTTTGATTCAGAAGAAATCGCGAACTGGGAC